ATTGGACTTCCTGAATGGATATATTCTCATCTTCCATCATACCAAGAAAATTCTCTTCCAACAAATCTTCGACAATTTTCTCTGTGGTTTTATTTGTCTTTTCCTGTTCTGGAACTCCGATTACATCTAGGTTATTTCTTTTGATGGTATCCCACGTGAACCTTAGGCTTTCTTCATTTTGTTTGGCTCTTTTTTCTGATTTATCCCTTTCCAAAGAAGTGTTCAGGTATTTTGCCTTCAGTCTCCCTAATTCTGTCTTTCCACTGATTCAATTCTGCTCCTTTGCCCATTCAATGTCTTATCTATTTCTCAAAATTTAGTATTAATTGTCTGGATTTCTGTGTGTAGATTTTGTATCATTTCTAATTTTTCATTTGTTTTGTCATTTTGTTCTTGTATTGTCTTTCAAAATTATTGTAGGGTTTTCTCTATGTTTTCCTTGATCTGTCTCTCAATTTGTTGAAGATATTTAAATATAATTCTTTTTAATTCTTTATCAGGGATTTCCAATGCTGCATCTTCCTCAGCGATGTGTTTTGAGTCTGTATCCTGGATCCTTGTTTCTCTTGCTTTATCTTGCTTCTTTGTGTGGACTGTGATGCTCTGTTTTCTCCGAGGCATTGTGATGTGTGTTTATATTTAATTGGTGGTTGTATGTTGGAGTGACTTGCCCACGATTTTCATTTTGTTTGTTTTTTTTTTGTATGTTATCTACACAAGCAAGGTACTGTGCTCTGCTCCTCTATTCACTAGTTGACAGCACTTATACACTCACCAGTTGTCTCCTTTCCTGTTGTCAGCCTCTTGTATGTCCCTGCCTACCTTGGCAAACAAAGCCTTTTCTTAGGTCTCTGGAATCTGAATGAGAATGCTATCACTTTAAAATCTAAAATGGTTGCCACTTGTAAAATTTCAAAATGGCTGCACCCTCGGCCACTTTAAATATCTGAAGTGGCTGCCACATGTAAACAATCAAAATGGCTGCGCCCTCTGAACAGCAGAAAGTCAACAGCTCAGGTTGTCTCCCTACTTGCTGTTTCCCCTTCCTAGTCATAGGCCACCAGCACAGTCGTCCCTGCAGCCGTTGGTGACCAGGGTTGATCTTTAGGTCAATTTTCAGGTCCCAACACCACTTGGAAATATTCAGACTGTTGGTCCTGTTAGAGTAGCTGACAGTCCTCAGCTCCAACCGCCTCTGTACTCACTGTTTTTGTTCAGGTTTTTCCACTAGTTGGTGCCTAATCCACTTCTGCATAGTTCCTTTCAAAGCTCAGGGCTCCACGATTATCTTCTGTATCTCTGTCAATTGTTTTTTCTTTTCTTTGTTGAAGAGGATCTGTGTCACTTGTCTGCCTATTCCTCCATCTTACCGGAAGTGCCCTCAATATTATAATTTAACTTAAAATATCAATTCAATAATTGCAACTAAGTAATGCTACTTTTCTTAATAAAGGACTCAGAGAAAGGCACTACTCTCCTCTTAATCTCATATTTTCCTATCTTTGTACTAAGCCAATAAATATTTTGTGACAATCAGCAACTATCACATTTTTAAAAAAACAACTTTGCATGTGCAACAGACTGGGAGCCAGCCAAGAATGTGAAATGTTTGTGTACTCAGTCCAAATCATTCTCCAGAAATAAACTACTTAGAGAGTGAAAAGATACCCTAAAATCGATTCCATAACACTGAAGTATAAAACAGATCCATATGTCCTATCACGTATGTATGTATGTATGAGTTTACATTGTGAACACTGTGAATAAGCCATGTGAGTGGTTTCAGTGGTTGGAAAAGGCACAGATAATGAAATGGCATTGCATTTATAGAAGACTCACTACACTGCACTTGACTAATCAGCTTCTGTACTAAACTAAATGAAGAAATAGTGTGCAAAAGACAAAAAAGACTAGCCAAGTATAAAGATGATATCATGGTGGAAACATACTGGGAAATGTGTAGTATCTAGTTAATAAGAAAAACCTACAAAATAAAAGTAATCTGACACTTTAGTTTCTGGTATAAATCTCTCAAGATTCTTCTTTGTTTGTGCAAAACTTTTTTGGGTGAGAATGTTTGTGCACTAAATATAAAAATAAAGTACAAGTATGCATATACACAGAACTAAAAATATGCCTGGGTGAAAAGAACCAAAGAATAATTATGTTAACTCAAAAGAGTTTCCAACCTAAGAGTCCCACATCTGTAACATAAGATCCAATACTACTCAAGATCATTATTGTTGAAGTGAAAACATCTAAGTAGAATAAACAGAACAGGTGACACTTGATGACTTATTGACAACCAAAAGGAATGGAAAAAACTTCATGAGCTTTACTTATGAGGTTGTTCTAAATGATAGGCATGAAATAGCACCAGAAACAGACAGTACACACTAAGGGAATAATTAGGGTGTGGTAGTTAAGTTTGTGTGCTAACTTTGCTGGGTCTGGTGGAGTGGCTGGGCAGCTCGATGTAGTATTCCCCATGGTGTGACTTGTAATCAACTCCATGGTGGAATATACCGTGAGCAGCTGATTAGCTGCCTTAGGGAATGTCATCTGCTTTTTGTATATAAGCAGAAGCCTTGGGGAATGGTCTCTAGCTTACGGCACACTTGGACCCTGCATGTGACCCTGCATATAGCTGCCTCGTTGTTCAGCAGCCTGCCATGCTCTGCCAACCTTGGGACTTAAAATAGACTTGAATTAATGTCCTGCCGTTTGGTTTGGAGGAGCTCTGACTCATAGCGACCCCTCCTTGGGTTTCCGAGGCGGTATCACTACGGAAATAGGATTGCCCAACCTTCCTTCCGAGGAGTGGCTGGTGGGTTTGAACCGCCAGCCTTCTGGTGAGCAGTCAAGTGCCTTAGCCACTATGCTACCAGAGCTCCCGCATCAAAACATAAGGGGAAAAAAAAATCCCAATTATCTTTTTAAATTCTAATCATATGATAAAAGAACTTATAGCAATATCTATATTTTACCCAAGTGTCATTCTGATTATGTTTATGATTCAGAGTCTCAGAGTTTTGGACAGAGAGTTGATTCTATTACTGAAAAATCAAACATATAGGAAAGTATAGTTTGTAAGTAAAAGTAAAACAAAAAAATGTGTTGTAATAATTTAGGCAATGAAGGAAGGAAGTATATGTCTCAAAACATGTGAAATAAGAAGGGACCCTCCAGATAAAAGCCAAAGGTTAGGAATCACTGACATACAGCATGACTAGTCAGTCTCCTAGAGAAAAGGCAATGATTGCATTTACAATTCCTATAAGATGGATTGAGAGCCATATTATAAGAGTAAGTGTTTACCATGGTTTGTGATTAAATGGATAGCTCGACGATGACCCATCTCCTGGAGGATCTGTAAAAGGTCACCGATGGTCTTGTTTTTCTGTGCCCAGGACCAAAGTAACTCTCTCGTTCCACTTTTACCTTGTTCCACGTACTTTTCAATATGACGAACATCCAGCCAGCTGCTTGAAAGCCGCTCCACTGTGGAAAGTGGGACAGGAAGAACCAGAGAATAGTATACTTTTATTGGAATGGCAATTGTTGTGGACCTTATAAGTTTTATTTTATTTAAAACTTTTAAATGTGAACTAATTTTGGCATATACCCCTCACCCAACCTCCCCTAATGTTAGCATCCAACATGTTGTTGTTATGTTGTTACGTGCCGTCAAGTTGGACCCAACTCATAGCAACCCCTCCTTGGGTTTCCGAGGCAGTATCATTACAGAAGTAGATTGCCCCATCTTCCTTCCGAGGAATGGCTGGTAGGTTTGAACCATCCAACATAACCACAGTAAAAATGATCAGAATCAGGAAATTGATATTGGTAGAATACTAGTAAGTAAACCACAGACCTTATTTGAATTTCATTAGTTTTTCCACTAATGGCCTTTTTCTGTTCTAAGAACTATCCAGTTTCCCACTTTGCAATTGTTATTTCTTCTTGCTGTTGTCTACCATTGAGTCAATTCCAACTTGTAATTAGGGGTGGCTGGTGGGTTTGAACTGCCAGCCTTCTGGTTAGCAGTCAAATGTCTTAGGCACTACACCACCAGAGCTCCTCATGATCAAGCAGAACTGCCCAATTTTCAAGGCTCTAATCTTTACAGGAACAGATCGCCACATCTTTCTCCCATGGAGCAGCTTGTAGGTTCAAACTGCCAACCTTTCAGTTAGCAGGCAAACTCTTAACCACTGCACCACCAGAGTGCCTACATTTCTCCTTAGGTTCCCCCAATCTGTGACAGTTCCTCAGTCTTTGCTTGTCTTTCAGAGCAGTGAAATGATGTGTTCTCAGTGTATAATATGAAGGGGTTCCTGATGTGGATATCTTATTACAGGCAAATTACTCTTACTACACTTGGCTAAGGTACTATCTGAAAAGTTTCTCCACTAGGAAGTTATCTTTATCATTAATACCTATATTGGGGGAAATACTTTGAGACTCTGGAAATATCCTGCTTTTCCTCAAATTTCGCCCCCTGATTTTAGCATCCATCAGTGGATCTTGTTTACCACGGTTATCACTATGATGTTTACATACTGGTGACTTACTATTTCCCTTTTTCCTTTTATGATTATTAACTATTAGGTAGCCCTTCTGGAACAATGGCTAAAGTGATCAGTTGGTAACCAAAAGGTCTGCAGTTCGAACCCATCAGCCACTGATAGTTCTGTTTCCGTAAAGATTTACAGCCTTGGAAACCCTATGGGGTAGTTCTACTCTGTGCTGTGGGGTTGCTGTGAGTCATAATCAACAGCACTAGGTTTGGTTTTGGTAATTAACATTAATTCTTCTGTTAAAAAACAAAAGAAGCTGTTCCATCTCCTCTATAAATTTATTTATTCAATGATTTATCTATGACTTATTTATGGACTCATGTATATTTATTTTATTCTATAAATTAAAAGACCACTGTCATTATTTATTTTGTGGCCAGAATTGTTCCATGTTTTTCCATTCAGGTTGGCACTTGTGTCCTTTTGACACACTCTCATCATTTTTTGAGCACTTTCTTCCATTTTAGCACAAGATGTCTTAGGCTCATTTTGCATTCCAGCCTTAGCCCAGGAATTAACTACTTCCACAAAGAGTCTTATTTCCTTTTATGGGATAATGATGTTTAAAAGTCAAGATATGGATGCTATATTAACTCATTGCAGCCCAGGCTTCCTTACTTCTAAGTTCTCCAAGCAGGCAGAGCTAGGAAATATATGTGTGTTTACTGACCCATGCATCTGTATTTCCCTATCTGTATTCATCACCACTTGTCTGTCAGTATGTCTTGCTGTTGTGCTTGGCCTGCTGTGTGATGCTGGAAGCTGTGAAACCAGCATTTCAAACACCAGCAGGGTCACCCATGGTGGACAGGTTTCAATAGAAACTAAAATGCACAAACAGCAGAAGAGAAACTAGATGATTGGGACCTTCTAAAAATTAAATTCTTATGTACACCAAAAGACTTCTTCAAAAGAGTAAAAAGAAAAAATACCAACTGGGAAATAATATTTGGCAATGACATATCTGACAAGGGACTTATCTCTAAAATATTTAGAAAACTTCAACACTTCAACATCAAAAAGACAAACAATCCAATTCAAAAATGGGCAGAGGACATGAACAGACACTTCACTAAAGAAGACAGATATTCAGGAAGCCAACAAACACATGAAGAAATGCTTGAGATCATTAGCCATTACCAAAAACCAAACCAAACTCACTGCCATCGAGTCAGATCCAACTCATAGCAACACCTCCTTGGGTTTCTGAGGCAGTATCACTATGGAAATAAATTGTCCAACCTTCCTTCCACGGAGTATCTGGTGGGTTTGAACCACCAGCCTTCTGGTTAGCAGACAAATGCCTTAGGCATTATGCCACCAGAGCTAGGAGATGCAAATCAAAACAGCAATGAGATATCATCTCACCTCAGCCATAATGACAAAGTTCAACAAGACAGAAAACAACAAATGCTGTTGAGGGTGTGGAGAGATTGGAACTCTCCTACACTGCTGGTGAGACTGTAAAATGGGACTGTGGAAAATGGTATGGCACTTCCTTAAAAAGATGGAAGTAGAAATACCATGTGGTCCAGTAATCCCATTACTAGGATTGTATCCTAAAGAGGTGAGATCTGGGACACAAATAGATATATGAACACCCATGTTCATCACAGGACTATTTACAATAGCAAAGATATAGAAGCAACCTAAGTGCCCATCAGCACATGAATGGATAACAAAACTATGGTACATACACACATGGAATACTATGCAACATTAGAGAATAATAATGTGGATGAACTTAGAGCACATTATGCTGAGTGAAATAAGTCAATCACAGAAGGACAAATATCGTATGAGTTAATTATTGCAAAAAGTCAAGGAAAAATTTACACAGGGAAGGAAATATTCTTTGTTGGTTAGCAGGGATGGGAGGGTAGGGGAAGGGAGGAAAATTAGATGGATAATTAAGAAACAGGTTTTGTATAGATGAAAGGAAAAGCAATATAACAAAAGCATGTGACTAGCACAATATCACTAAGGAAAAGGAAAACACAGAGAGATGCACAAGAGGTTTAGACAATAAAGGTGAATATTATTGAATACACAGTACTGCATTATCAGTAATAGCAAACACTAATCTGCAGGTGGATACATAGGTAGACAGGCAAGAAGATCAGGTATGGATTGGAGAATGGGAATATACTCAAGCCATACATAGGTTTGGCAGATGACACTCCTACATATGTATTTGTATGTGCTATAAAAATGTCCACACACAGGTTAACAGGAGGCAAACTTAGGATAACTTCTCACCTACAACTAAACACCTTGAGGGAGTGAGTCACTGGGTCTGTGGGCTGGGAAGCACGGTCATGGGGAACATCAAGCTCAACTGGCACAACATGGTATACAAAAATATTGTAGAATATCTTCCTTTGGTGAGTAGCGAATGGGGTCTTAAAAGTTGTGAATGGTCATCTAAGATGCAACTACTGGTCTCCTTGTCTGGAGCAAAGAAGAGTGAAGAAAATCAAAGATACATGGAAAATGTTAGTTCAAAGGACTGATGTTCCACAAGAACCTCAACCTGAGACCAGAAGAATTAGATGGTGCTTGGCTACCAGTGCCAACCACTTGGAAAGGGATCAGGATTGGAGATTCTGGATGGAATGGGAGAAAATTGTGCAACAAAACTCAAACTCATAAAAACGATGAGGCTTACTGGTCTGATTGAGACTGGTGAAACTCCCGAGACTATGGCCCCCAGTCATCCTTTGGGGCTAGAACTGAACTCACCCCATGGCTTAACTTTCAGCCAAATAGACAATCCTAGGAACTTAACACCTACACCAGGGAAATGCATTCATTTTTGTTGCTGTTGTTAGGTGCTGTTGAGTCGTCTCCGACCAATAGCGACCCGTGTACAGCAGAACAAAGCACTGCCTAGTCCCACGCCAGCTCCATGGTCCCGGTTATACCTGAGCCCATTGTTGTAGCCACTGTGTCAATCCATCTTGTTGAGGGTCTTCCCCTCTTTCATTGACCTTCCACTTTCCCAAGCATGATATCCTTCTCCAGGGAATGGTCTCTTCTTACAACATAACCAAAGTAAGTGAGATGAAGTCTGGTCATTCTTGCTTCCAAGAAGTATTCTGCCTGCACTTCTTCCAGGACAGATTTGTTAGTTCTTTTAGCAGACCATGGTACTTTCAGCATTCTTCACCAGCACCACAACTCAAAAGCATCAATTCTTCTTCAGTATTCCTTATTCATTGTCCAGCTCTTACATGCATGTGAGGTGATTGAAAATACCATGGCTTGTATCAGGCACACCTTAGTCCTCAAGGAGACATCTTTGCTCTTCAGCACTTGAAAGAGGTCTGTTGCAGCTAATTTGCCGAGTGCCTAAGGCACTTGACTGTTAACCAGAAGGCTGGTGGTTCAAACCCACCAGCCACTCCTCGGAAGGAAGGTTGGGAAATCTACTTCCATAGTGATACTGCCTCAGAAACCCAAGGAGGGGTTGCTATGAGTCAAGTCTGACTTGAAGGCACATAACAACAACAACAACAACAACATAGATCGTCTGATATCTTGACTGCTGCTTCCATTGGCGTTGATTGTAGAACCAAGTAATATGAATTCTTCAGTCTTTTCTCCATTTGTCATGATACTTCTTTTTGGTCCAGTTGTCAGGATTTTTGTTTTCTTTATACTGTGGACTGCATTCTTCAATCTTCATCGGTAAGTGTTTCAAGTCATCCTCACTCTCAGCACGTGAAGTTGTATCATCAGTCAGTGTATTGCAGGTTGTTATCATGCACTACTTAGAACAATCAGTTATGGAGATCAGAAGGGCAGCATTTGCACAGGGAGACGGGACTGCATAGCCAAGAACGACACAGAGAAAGGGTAACCACAGGGAGGAAGTAAGAAGAGAGTTGTTACACTGCGGGGAATGTAACCAGTGTCACA